GGTCTACAGAAGCGTCTGGAACAAAGTACAGTGAAACGACGTCACGATCGGAGGAGGATAAGAAAGCGCTCCAGATGCTGGAAAGAAACACGCCCAAAGGTGGAGAGCGACACGAAACCGGTCTGCTGTGGAAGGAGACAAGTCCTACACTTCCCAACAACAAGCGACAGGCTACTCAGCGACTGCAGGCAACGGAGAGACAGCTCGAGAAGCTTCCAGAGGTCGCAGGGAAGTACCAGGTCATCATCAACTCCTACGACGCCGAGAGACATGTATCGGTCGCTGCTGTCTCAGCAGACGCACCCACAGAACAGAATGAGTTTGAGCTGGGCCAGCAGCTACAGGAGGCTCAGCAGGAGCTGCAGGAGCAGTCCAGCCGGCTGGAGGAACAGCAGCAGGCAGCTGCCAGACTCCAGGAACAGCGGACCATGGCCACCGCAGACTACAGGAAGGCAGATGCCGGCCTCACCAGGGCGTTGGCCGCTGAGCTAGCCACCTGTCGAGAGCGCGACCAGGTGCCCTCGGACGAGGCGAGCTTGGTACAGCAGCTGGAGCGGCGCGCTGCTGAGGTGGCCCGGCTGACGGTCGAGCTTGCCGACCGGGGAGCTGAACTGGCTGCAGCTAATGCGGCAAAGTGTCGGGCCCTGGTACAGGCAAAGGAAATTGCCGCCAAGGAGATCAGTTTCCAGTACAGAGAGAGGAAGATGGCGAGTGAGAAGGAGGTGCTGGAGAAGCAGATGTCTCTGCTGCTGGAGAGCCTGAAGTCGCAAGCAGAGGAGCTGTCCACGCTGCGCCGCCAGCACAGATCGCGGGTCCTCCAGCTGCAGGCCGACCTTGCCAACAAGATGGACCAGCTGGGGACGGAGCAGGCGGAAAAAGAACAGCTGACACAGCAGGCGGCCGACCTGGAGCAGGAGGAAAACTATCGACAGCAGCTGCGGTCACACGAGCGGCTGGCGCAGCCCTACAAAGAGGGCGTCGAGAAGGCGGAGGCCAGGTCGAATGAGATGCTGCGCTCTGTTAACGAGCTGCGGTCACTGCTGAGCTCGGCCAGCGAGCAGCAAAGCCGGCTGGAGGTGCATCTGGACGAGACGCACACCCAGCACGGCCAGTACCTGGTGGAGCGCGACAAGGTGATCCTCCAGCTGCGCGACCGGCTGGAGACTTACGAGGAGCAGCTGCAGGCAATCACCCGCAAAGGTAGCCTTTCAGACGAGGCGGTGGAGGCCACGTCACCGTCCGCCGCCGCCGTCAGCCGGCTCCTGCGGCAGGGCATGACGCTCACACAGATCTTCACCGGGTTCAGTCAGGCCAAGGAGCAGCTGACGGCCACAGAGGCCGAGAGCAAGCAGTTCAAACTGTGCCTCGACCAGATCCTGAAGGATATTGATGAGGGGACGCGGGCCATCCAGAGACAGCGCGAGGATTATGAGTCGGCGGTGCAGACGATCGACTCTCCCACAGGCAACAATGACGAGGCATTACGGGAGCTGGAGACAGCACGCGCCAAGCCTGACGGCGCCCGCCGGCGACTGCGTATCGTACAACACGAGAGGGATCGGCTGGCCGCCCAGACAGCGGACCTGGCAATGCAGTTTTGTGTGCCGCTGAAGAAGGTGGAGGAGGCGCGCGGCGGTCGTCACCACACCCCGGGACGAGCTCGAGCTGGATATCTCCGCCGGACGGCTGATCGCCCAGCGTCTGGTCACCTTCCGGGACAAAGAGGGGCTCCAGGCGCCAACCAGGAGCTGCTGTCCGTGGTGCGCGAACTGAGCGCCGCCCGGGAGGAGCTGAACACGCAGCGCTCATGGCTGCGTCCCGTGGACAACTGATCACTGCCTGCTGCGGTCCCATGCCCGAGGTACCAACCGTCCAGTCCCCCATAGCCGGTGCTCATCTGCACTTTCTCGGCGAGGGTATCCAACGGTCGTCCGTCATTCCATTGTGCGTGTGACTTACCGGCCCCCGCCCACTGACCGCCCGCACTAGCTCTGGTATTTTTCTGCCTTCCTGACAGGGACCTGAGTCTGAGTTCAGGGCTGTGTAAAGGTAACCCGTTTGAACGCGCGAGTGTAAGGGCCGCTTTATCTCGATCCGCTGTCCGCGCCTTACTGGAATGCTGTGCGTGTTTTTACTTGTATGGAGCTTGGAAATGATAGTTACCCGCGCCCGTTTCGGTTATCACCTTTCTTGACTGTTCGTTTGCGCTGTTCAATTTGTCGGTCGAATGTATGTGTTCGACGTTCGTAGTGAAGCCGAACACAGGGGGGAGTGATGTTGCCGACAAATTGCACCTATGCAAGGCGGTACGGGCGAGAGACTCGGCGCTGCTGAGCCGAGCCGCCGCGCCGCCACGCCGCCGATCCGAGCGCCGTCCGCGGTCGCGGGACGCTGGCGTCCCCTCTGACCCGGCTGGCTGGCCGGCGCGGCAGGGCGGCTCCCTGTTTGCGTAGGACCGGCCCAGGTCCGGGCCATTGTGTGGGGCACGCACGTGCGCGCCCGGCGTGTGTGTCTTCCGGGTGGAGCGCTGGACGCCCGGGCCATTTTTAGCCTTTTCTGTGTGCTCTGACCGTCCTCAACGCGTCTTGTTTTCACCCCCTGTCGCCGTATATAAACTAGTTGTAAACACCCCCGGCCCTCAGGCCTCACTTCACCTTTCGACTTCGACGGGGACACTGCGCTGCCCCGCTCTCTTCCCGGTACGTTTCGCTGCCTTGTCCGCCAAATATAGTGAACTAGAAGACAAAGTGTGTGAGAAGCCCGAGTGAGAAGTGAAACAGTGCGCGGTCTACACACAGATGAGATATTCGACGGAGATGCGGCAGGCGTATCGGTTCCGGTGACCAGGTCTACTGACTATCCTTTTTTCATCCTAAAACATTCCTAAAACTCTCTAAGAAGGGGGTTCCTTTGTCGTCGGCATCCGGCGCTCCATATTTAGGCCCTAACACTCTCCCTGAGAGGGGGGTTCCTTTGACGTCGGTATCCGGCGCTCTCATATTTTAGGCCCTAACATACTCCCTAAGAAGGGGGTTCCTTTGACGTCGGTATCCGGCGCTCTCTTATTTAGGCCCTAACATACGCCCTAAGAAGGGGGTTCCTTTGCCGTCGGTATCCGGCGCTCTTTATTAGGTCCAAATATACTTCCTAAGAAGGAGGTTCCTTAGTCGTCGGCATCCGGCGCTCTATCCTGTATCCAATATTTAGTTGTATCTTAACTAGGCTAACGTGATAGGTTATAACATTTATTTTCCCAATTTTCCAATTAAACCATTTTCCTCCTGGATCTCGGTCACCAAACAACCAAATGCTGTGCGATGCGCGATTAAATACAGTCCACACCATGAAAGGAGATTCGAACGAAAGCGTCGCCAACAACCATCAATCATCATAATCATGCACAAAGACCACGTGACTCAGCCTGGGCCATCATCACACGTCATGTACCGATGCAACGTGACTCAAAGGACCGGCGTGACATCAGCGGCTCAATCGACCCCGGAACTGGCCACCAAAGGACGGCGCGGATACCGGGTCTCACGTCAGCTGGACCGGACGTCCTGTGCCCGCTACGAGCAGGCTGACAAAATTTTCAGAATAACGCCATGGGCTGGACTTCCAGTGCCATGTCTGATTAACATACTTGTTCACTTTTTATCGCTATGCGATCAAAGGAAATTATTTAAATGTGTCTAGTAAAAAAAAAAAACGTGCGCATTTTACAATGTAATTAAATCTCTGTAAACAAGGAACTCTGTGTGAGCTAGCCTTCAAACTCGAGCCTCCCAACCCCGGACGGACGTATAATGGATTCACGCGTGAGCACAAATCCGGCGCACGCGGCGTCCAACACGCCCCCGTCTCGCCCCATTGTTGTCTGGCTGGGGGGTGGGGTGGGGGTGGGGGTGGGGGCGTCTGAAGGTGTGGCGCAGACTGGACTTCTGTCCACGCACAAAAACACCAGATAGGAGCGACCCACTGGCGGGGGTTGGACCGCCCCGTGCGTGATCTCACAGGCTTACGGTGGTAATCGAGGTCATAGACCTCGGAGTGAAGAGAGGAGGGTGTGGTGCGTGCGTGAAGAGGGCTGTTGTAGCCTGAGGAAGGATGATGTGAGCATTTTCCGTACACGGGTAAATTGCGAATCCTTATCATCGGGAGCATGCCTAAATTTTATGAGAAAAGAAGGAACACCGTTTCGTGTAAATGACAGGATCGCACTCGATGGTGCCTGCCAGCACTGAAATTACCGTATTGGGTCTTCCGGATGTTTTTCGCTCATCCTGGCTAAATTTGGATCTTCCTTAAACTGAGGTGACGCACTAGTCATCTCTGCTCCCGATCGGAAACCCAGCGGCGGCAGTCCGTTCTAGTGCACTCAGTTCTATGACGTCACACTGCTGAGAACAGCATCCGCTGGCCGGCTTCCCGCGACCAATGTCCGTGGAGCTATCCATCGAGACGTCACGTCCCGTCTGTCCGACGCGTCACGGCTAACGTACGACTGCCGTCCGTGTCGCGTCCAGCCGAGACTATTTCGGGCGGCTGACGCGGCAGCTCGGGTGGGTAGACTGTGCCGCAGCACATACACGCAGGGAGGTAGACTGTACCGCACTACACCAGCGCGGCGGGAGACTGCACGCGGCTTCAGTAGCTATCACCGGGACGTGCGCTGCGTGGAAGAACGCTCCGATTGGACTTGTGGGTTTAGGGGATATGTAGTAAAGCATATTTCAGGCAAGGTCACAATGTCATGCTCCTATCATGGTAGGCTAGGATTTTATAGGATTTAGTGAAGCGCTGATGTTGATGATGAGGGACATCCACAGGTGTACGAGGTTGCGTCCCCGTCCCCTTCGGTGGGTGCTGTGTATGTATAATATTAATATCAGTGGAGTGTTGTCGAAGCATTGATACTGATTACTGATATTGGTGATACTGATATCGCTTTATGTTTCCTGTTTCACTGGACTGACTTCTCTCTCGTCTGCCGCCCTCAGAGCTGGAGGACACGCGTCCCGAGTGGGTGAAGCGGGCAATATTCGACATCCACTTCCTCCACTTCGGCTGCATTCTGTTCCTGATCGTGCTGGTCGCCTCGGTGGTCATCTCACTGTGCACAGAGCCCATTCCCGAGGAGTGCGTAAGTAATTCACAGAGCCCATTCCCGAGGAGTGCGTAAGTAATTCACAGAGCCCATTCCCGAGGAGTGCGTAAGTAACTCAGAGAGCCCATTCCAGAGGGGTGCGTAAGTAACTCAGAGAGCCCATTCCCGAGAAGTGCGTAAGTTACTCATTTCTTCATTTTCATGCCAACTGTGGTTGAAATTACAACTGTTATTTGATCGCAATATGTATATCAACGATACACCTTTTATGTCACCTTTTTAGGTTTTTATAACCGATTTACATTTATTTCAGCTGCGGCGTCTGACGTTCTGGTCTCGCCGTTGCGAGGAGCCGCGGATGCCACTGCCATCAGAGTCTGCCAAACAGCGCTTCGTTGAGGAAATTCAGCTCCAGGATGGTACGTGACGACACTCAAAGACTCACATTCGATAGCTAATTGAGACGGTAAAAAGACACATTACCTCCAGCGCAGTTGTCTGCTTCCTTCAGAGCTCAGCCGCTTGGTCTACACCCTCTGCAGTGAGGATGGATAGTGCGGCTATAAGAAGCGGCTCCGTGAGCTACAATGGTACTGCTTGTTTTAAAAGGGCTAATTGAAACACATGATGGTACCTGAGCATCTGGTCATTCTGATATGAAAAATGTTGTATTCTTTACCATTTTTGGCGATATACGTACGTTCACTTGCGTTTCGATGCGCCACTCTAAAACTGTACTCGAGCTCCGGGGACAGTGAAACGACCGGCACGTCATGAAGTGCGATATGCTTTTAGTGCGGGGCGTGGGCGATAGAGTGCATCTAGGGACTATGATCCCTGTGTAGTGAAGAGGCTTTAATACCGTGTTACACTCACAAAGACTCAGATAAGGACATAAAGTACCATCTAGCTAGCATCATTCCTCAATCTTCATGGCTTCTGAGCTGAGCCGCTCCGCAATGATCAATCTACGATAGTTGGGGATTTCCTTCTCCAGTTCTGTAAGCACGGATACCAGACATATCCACTGACCAATCCTAGTTCTAAGCATAATCGCAAAAAATCGCTCAATTATGCTGCTGCCATTTCCAGAGCCGCCGGAGCCGCCTGCCACGCCGTCTCTGGGCAGGAAGATCTTCAACAAGCTGTGCGGGGTGGCCGAGGGGGCGGCCATGGGCGAGTCGGCCGCCACCGACCCCTTCGGGCACCTCACCGACGTGGAGCGGGCTAAAATGGACGCCGACTCGCTGCTCGAACACCCCAGACAAAAAGTGTAAGGAGATGATTTATCTGGGCAAAGTTAATGATATTAATCATCCTTCTAAAGTGCTTCCATAGCTCAAATTGACGACAGGTGCTGTTGCTCGTCGTACCGTGGAACAGGATTCGTAATGAAGACATGCCACTTTGGTTCTTCTAATATGCCAGGAATATGCACATTAATCAAACGTTTTCTCTGAAGATGCATCGGATATTATCAATTCATGAAATCGTTGGATTTACATATCTTCCCAATCTCAGATTCTCCTACTTATAGGCGAGATTTTGATGCAAATAGAGCTGGGACACTTCCTACTGACACCCTGGCCAATGACCGTTTCTGATTTCAGGATCGTGAACGTGCTGGCCATGGTGCTGATGGCTGTCTCCGCCGGTATGTACACGTATTACCGGTAATACCACGGTACACCGCCCGGTACACCCGGTACACCCGATGTACGAGGTGTAAGTACACCGGAGTACCGCCCGAGGCACTGACACCGCTCGGTCGGTGTCACTGTCAGCTGACAGCATCTCAACTGGTCGGTGTCATGTTCGGTGTCCGGCGTGCTCGTGTCACTATCAGGTGTCGATGGTCTCTGTCACTACTGATCGCCGGGAAGATAATGTGAGATCCCCATCGCATCAGTTCCAGTGACAGTATTGATACATTGCTAGCCTCTGAAAGGCACACTCGGCGGCCGAGGCGGTGTTATACTGTGTCCGATGTGTTTCTAATTTAACAATAACACTAGTTGTTTTCCGTTTCGAATGTTTAGTGTTTAGTTCCTTGCACCAGTAACCAGTACATCAGTGTATAATTGTATATGTTGGACTTGTTGGAGGCATCGCTGACATGTTCTGATTGTCTAGATATCCGTCTAGTCATGGGATATGTGAGACACCTGCTGATCGTTGTCCTAAGAATCACTTCGTTAAAGAGTATTTGTGGAGCTGTGAATAGCGTGAATCACACCATTTGTAATATTATATCGTACGTACTGATGGCTGATGACTGAAACTATTTTACTAATGGTCCAGACCTTTGGATCGTGCGTTATAACTTATAGTTGTCATTCTCTTTCTCTCTCGTTCCTAGAACACTGCGCTTTTGTTGCCATGGTCAGTAAAAAATAGAATCGTTTTTTTTATTAAATTATATTTTTCAGGGGGGAAGTAAACAGAAAGTTCAACAAGCACTACCAAGCTATTGCATCGGATATTGTAATTATTGACGCTGCTGCCGCTAAAAGTTCGTTTTTTACTTATCAAGCGGACTTCAGCCGTCCAATATTCCGCTCCCTGGGCCCAATCTTATAAAGGTTGTGCTACCAAATGGCGTACTATCATTCCACCCCACTCTATTTACGGCACCCTATTCACGCAATCTTATAAAGAGAATAGTATGGTAATTCTATTCACGCCATTTTGCCCACAGTACAAATCAACGTCAGCAGGAAACACGCAACGTGATTGGTCAATGTCTTGTCGCCGTCGCTATTGGAAATTATGCGTACTGTTTGCGAACAGCAAAAGTTATGTGTTTTAATTTTTATGGGGCATTTATTTCTTTCAGAGACACACATATGTGTAATGAATAAGTTATTTATGGAAAACGTGATAGCAAACTATGGAAAACACAAACATGCTTGAAGAATTCTCCTGAAAAGTGGATTGCCGACCAAATAAATTTCAGCGAGGGCATTCTCGCGCTCAGAAATTCGAGTGAATAAAGTGTTTCTTCTACTTATCATTTGCATTTATTTGCTGTTAATGCATTGCAATAAATTTGTTAAAGAATTGTTTAAATAGTCATTTAATTATAGCTCGGCTACTGTTTCAGTAATTTAAGTAATGCCGTTGACAATGAAGCTCCTACAATTTAAGAGCATCAGGATACGTACATTAACTGGATCAATTCAAGATACCTATAGCTTATTTTCCTTCTTGTCATAAGCTCTTGAAATTTTCCTTCTTGAAGATAAAGCTAATAAAATTCGAAGATTACGTACATGAACTAAATTAGGTCAAGTTACAGCTTATTTTCCTTCTTATTCAAGCATAGGTACCTATTACCTAGCCTAAAGCTAAAAAGCAATTCCTCAAAAGATTGAAGTACCCAGTCTACATATCAAAGCTATATCAAGAAAAACACTTGGTTCAGAAGTCAGATCGAGATGCAGGAAGAGAAACAACAGATTGATCACTGATCAGTAACTGTGCCAAACAGAAAGTGAGGAAATACGAATAGTGAGTAGGCATTTACAATTTTTAAACAAACTAAGGTATATCTTCATCAATTTAAATATCTAATCAGAAGCCATGAAGTGCCCGTTATTTGTGTCATACGTGAGACGTGAGAATAGGCTAAAGACCCGTACCGATTATATAATACAGTGGCTGCCGAAAATCTAAGACGGTTACTGGTGCTAAAATCCTCTTAAAAATCCCCTTTTAATTTGAAAAATAAAGTCATATAACGATGAACACTCGTTTTTATGTCTTTTATTAAGTGTGCATTTAGTTCCTGGAAATACATATTTTGAAATTGATCGCTGTCTGTATAATAAGCATCATTATAATAAATCATGAGTTAATATGTAGAGGATGTTTTAATCTTAAAATTATCATAATGTAAATTATTGCATACTTATATCATAAAAACATGGAATTTATCTTAAATCAATTAGTCTGTCTGAGAAGCTCGCCAAAGTACGCCACAAATTCTGGCGTGAAATGGACGCCGCTGAAACCGCAAACAGCTGATGATTGTCGGTGTTTTGAGATGTGCACGCTGCTCACGGTTAAAATCAGTCTACAGCATCCTCAAAACCGGCGGCTACCAATACCGTAAAGAGCGTGCCGTGTTTTCGATTTCACAGAGTTTTATAAGATTGCGTACTATATATCCAGCCTTAGAGTGCTGCCATATCCATTTCACGGCGTTTATAAGATTGGGCCCAGTGTCGGGCCTATGCTGTAACGGTCGGGAGGAAACAAGACTCGACTCTGAGGAAATGTGAGCTATTTTACGTAGCGCGAACTATTTTACGAAGAATGGTTCCTACATATGTAACGATGTATCCTGACACTCTGAATTACTTGAGAGACGAATAGTGTGCACTTTGCGTGGATAGGTAATGCACATCGGTGAACAGTGTGTCAATGTGTGTCACAGTGTGTCAATCTCAATTTGTCTCAGTGGTTAGGTATGCTCAGAGATCACCTGATAGATAAAATATACTGAATGATGTAGCACAAGACTGCATTTATTGCCCTGGTGTAAGGAAGTAGTACCTGTGAACATGTTACACAGGCGCTTGTTAAACTTGAAAGGCATCTATGGGTGACATTAGTCGTGTTTACATAGGGTTCCCTTAATCTTCCCCTATTTCTCCCCTATTTTCAGATCGAATTTTAGGCATCATAGCGCTCGCGTGTAACCTTGCTATGGACGCTATTGTTGTTAGAAGCATACTAAGCATCGTTTATGCTGTAAACAATATAAATTGGGCTTATTTAATACTCGAAATTCAACAATTCATATTTTGAAGTAATTTTATCCTGCCCTTCAATTCCCTCTTTAAGCGACAAATAGGGGAGGATTTGGTAGCGTAGCGCCTTTCCAAAAGCTGCTACGCTACCATATCCAGTGGTTCTCAAACTATCACATCACAAAAGCGGCGTGCTGATTGGCCGGCAGTTCCGAATCGTCCGAATGGTGGTCCCCGACTCGACAAGCGCACGTGCGCTGACTGAGGATTTTTAAGTGGCATTAACGCATAAACGGCAGAAAGTCAAGGCGGAAATTCGACAGGTGCGGTGTTCTGATATTGCCGTGGATGTGATTATACCTACTTGAATAATAGCTTAGCCCTTTTAAGTATGTTAAATGCCAGATAGTTTTCTGATTTTTCTTGCTTTGAGCTTTCATGTGCTATCACTTTTACCTCAGTGTCTGGTCTGGAAGCTATTTGGGAGAGCCCTAAAGGTAAGTAACAATTGCAAACTGCTTCTAGAATGACTTAGTTGCGCCATATTTGTAGTGAAGCGAGGTAAAGGAGACAGAGGATTCCTTTATAAGGGACATTTAAGAGACAAATAGGGGAAGATTAAGGGAACCCTATGTAAACACGGTTATTGAGGGTAGATGAATTTGTCGTAACTCGTAAGCCATGTGTGCACGCATTCTGGTAATAAATAGTGACACGCTGTTGTGGTGTCTCCAGGATTGTTGTTTGAGTGTGTGTAAGTCGTCATGCGTTAGGAAGAGTTCCACAGGCCTTACGCAACTTCCGGTGGCCGAGGGACAGGTCATGTCACCTAGCCCCGCGGCCGCGAACGGTCAGCCCACTGCACAGGAGCCTGCTCTGGAGAAGCTACTCAGCCAGGTCGGATGATGGTGACCGAAAGACTGTCATCTCGGAACCTAGCCTAATCTTTTAAGGGTATCTAGGAGAATAATAGGTGCGCTCTGACTCCTGGGAATAGTTAGATAAAGCTAGACTGCTAGAGTACAGCCTCGGGACTCCAGAGGAGTTTGACGGAGCTAACCTGCTAAGCAGTGGCGTACCCAGGAATTTGCGAAGGACCAGGGCATTGGACGAGAGGGCGCCGCCAATCAAGGAGGGCGCCAACAACAAGGAGGGCGCCACATATCTGACTTGAATGTGTCAGTTATGTTCGTACACGTGCGGAACGAACATAACTGACATACTGGACAGAGGGGCGCCACCCACCATCATCTAGGAGCGCGACGCTATCGATTGGAGGGGCGCCAATACTGGACAAAGGGGCGCCACCGGCCCACCATATCGTCTAGGAGGGCGCCACTATCACCAGAGGAGCGCCAATACTGGACAGAGGGGCTTCGCCATCAACTAGAAGCGCGCCGCTATCGACTGGAGGAGCGCCAACACTGGACAGAGGGGCGCCAGTCACTGAGGGCGCCGGGGACGATGAGCCAAAGGGACAGGGCATGCACGGAATGTCCTGTATGTGCGTACGCCACTGCTGCTAAGTCAGCTAAATATAATTCACGCGGTTGCAAGGTCAACTACAGATTCCCACGCTGCTCGTCAGATGTCACTGGCGCCGCCCGCTCTGATCAATGGCGACGGCGCGGATGGGTCGGGGGGTGGCGGCGGCTGACTCCGTCGGCGTCGGCGGGCTGTGTGTGGGCGGTGGTCGGACGTCGGTGGCCCACCGGTGGCGAACCGTGCTGCCCTGTGAGTGTGGTACACCCTGAACCCCACCGGACACCCCGATCCCGAACTGAACACGATCCGAAGATTTCGTTGAGTCTGATCCGACCATTTGGCACGTCGTAAAGCAAACAATCACTTAAATCTGGTAAGCTCTAAGTCTGCTGAGTCCCTGCGCTGATCGGGGCAGACCCGGCTCCATGGCCGAGAAGGCGGCTTCCGGTCGAGTGGGCGCCGGGCGCGGCACTGCAGCCGGCACCGCGGACGGCGCGCGCGCAGGTGAGCGGCCGTCTAACCTGTAATGTAGGTGCAGCTCCTACGATACCTGTCCGCTGGTGTATAGTGTATATAGCGCTTCCGCTTCTTACCCTAATGCTAATATGACATGTGAGCTTCCTCTAGTCGTGTAATCTGTGCCTGTAGTTGGCTATTATGGGCAATCAGTCATATACGTAATTCGCTCGATCGCCTGTATCATACATGTAGATGAGCACAGACATATTCCAATATTGTGTTTCTGGAAATACTCGTAGTTCTTGTGTATACGTAGTTAATGGTTGCTAACTTCGAGTTTATCTACACCACTTCTTCTTGACTGTTTTTTTTTACCGGTAGCTCGCTATTTTGTCGCTTTGAACATGTCGTTCGTACCCTTCCACGCCCGGTAAACGTATAACCACATCGGTGCCTACGAAAGGTTTTCCCTTCGAAAACGACATCTGTCCTGTGAATGCGCGAGGACTCGGCGCCGCATACAATCATGAAGCTCGAAACAGTGGACGATCGTTGTTCTTTGGTAATTTTATGAATGCATGTCGATCTCTTTATCCCGACAACGACGTCTGAGATACCGTGCTTCACACGCCGTCTAAGCACCATGGATGTGCACCCGGCGTTGACTGCCAGTCCGCGAATAAATCCGACCCGTGTGGGCGGCGGGCCGTCGTCCTCGGTTCACATAGGGAGCGCCACATATATCCGTGTGGGCGGCGGGTCGTCGTCTTCATTTCTCACAGTCACAGGGACTGACGAAGCCTCTGATGTTGTTAAAACGAAGGCCAGATTCCCAGAACCAAGAACCTCGCCGCGGCATCCCGGCTATCGATTATACGACCCCCAGTATAAACATATGAATGACACGTTCACGTATCTATGCATATTTTACAACCACATACGCCCGTGTGTCATAGTAATGCTGGGACAGTAAGTACACATTGACATAACACACACATGATATGCAACATGTATATAGTGCCACGTGATTTGTGACTGTGAGACAAAGGGTGTTTACAGAACACAAACATTGACTTTACCAAGAACCTGTGCGCAAAAAGGCTATCGATTTTATGTTCCGCGTGGGCTGCACCCAAGAGTTGCATGCTCAAACATGGGGTTGAACAAGTCCCTTTTCAACTTAACTTCTGGGGAGTAGAACTTAAAACTTTCAGTCATCATTCGAAACTTTATTTCCCATTCCTACAACATTCTTGTTAACCCGCGCCCTGCTGGGGGGGGGGGGGTGTTTGAACACCCCCTTGTGGTTTTTTGCGAATATCTCAAAAACGGCGGCGCTCCGCGCCGCCGTTTTTGGTACACCTTATCATACATTAATTCTACACATGTTGTGAAAATTTCAGACCAAGGTCATTCAAGGTCAGGTCACCAGGTCACTTGAAGTGACCTCACCTCATAAAAAGTTTCAATGTCTGTCAGAGCTACACCGAGTGACCGATCGCTTTGAAACTTTCAGCGATTGCTAAGAGCAATAGCATGTACAAAATGTTTATCTCAGAATTTTGATATCGATGACCTAAGGTCAGGTCAATTTTGCGACCTCCCCATTATAAGTCAATGGGAGAAAATTGAAATGCGCCTCTTTTGGACAAAAGACATTATAAACACTCCCAAACACCGAACTACAAGTGGTTTAGACACACTGAACATGAAAATGGTGTCCGTGACCCTTGTTTATGCCCTGAGGTCATCTTAGGTCACGAATGGTATCTAACAGTTTTTCGCAAATAACTTTTGATAGAGGCATGCTAGAGCGATGAAAACGCCTTAGATGTGTTCAGCTCGACGATACGGATCGACTGATATGCAACATGACCCTTTCTGCTCAGGTCATGACCTTGACCTGAGGTCAAATTTTCAAGTTGACCTTTCAAGGTCAACTTATAGTTCATTAGATGCATCTTGACGAGAGGAACACAATGCCGGTAAAAGTAAGCTCGTACAAGGCTTGGGTCAAAAGTTATTGCAGAAAAACTGTTTCCGAAAAAATCAGATATTTTTCAGTTTTTGCCCCCTGCAGGCAAAACCGTTGACGTTAGGTCAAATCTGAGAGAATTACTCAGAAAGGGCTTTAATAGGGCTATCGAATGCGCTTTTCCGCGGCGCTGTAGCTCTATTGGTTCTCGAGTTATGCGTTGGCTTCTTGGAAATTTTCGACATTCGAACTGGAAATCGGCGAAATTTTGCCTTCAATGACCGCTGGTGACCTGACCTTTGACCTGCCCAAAAAATTGACTGAAGTGTTTTCGTCATTATTTTTGACGCTCTTTCGAACGCCGCCTTCCGCGTATCGCTACGTGGCCCAGGAGCCGAGTTACAAGGGGGGGGGGTGTGTTCAAACACCCCCCCAGCAGGGCGTGGAAATCCAGGACCCCCAGCCGGGCGCGGGTTAAACGAATGACGAAGTACTCTGGTGAAGAGCATTATATGTAATATATTTAAAGGGACAGTATCATCGAAAAAATCAATGCATGGAGCTGATTTTTTTTACTAGTATTTCTTATTTTTCTGAATCAGAAAAACATAGTTTGAGGACCGAACTCGGTGAAATTTTTTTTTTTCATGAGCGAGTCATTTTCATGAGCGAACCACCACTACAAGCATGGCCGCCACTTTGGAAGCCTGCAAAATTTCAAATTACTACAGAACTGGCGCAGATAATACATTATTGACGCTACGCTTACGCGGCCGCTCTTCTGATTGAGTTGTCGTTAGGGAAAGGCAGCATTAGGTATTGCCCAGAAGATATCACGTGACAATATT